CCATGTTCCTCGCCATGGCCGACACTAGGGCCGTTCTCGTTAAATTGGCTGATCGTCTGCATAACATGATGACACTAGATGCATTGCCATTGACCAAACGATTAAGAGTTGCCAAGGAGACTTTGGAAATCTTCGTACCATTGGCTAATCGCTTGGGAATATCGAGTTGGAAGGAACAGCTGGAAAATTTATGCTTTAAGCATCTTCATCCCGTCGAGTATAAAGAACTTTCGTCTAAACTCGTGGAGTCGTTTGATTCAGCAATGATCACTTCTGCTATTGAAAAATTAGATCAAGCTCTTAAGAATGAAGGGATTTCTTACCATCTCTTATCTGGACGCAATAAAAGCTTGTACAGCATATACTTGAAAATGTTAAGGTATGTCCCCTTTTATGTTCAATAAAAGCTTGATCTGATGGTTATGAATGCTGCAGTGAATCTTACATAGTGATGGCTTATTGAAAATGTGTACTTTCTATTTCTTATTTGCAGAAAGAAGTTGACCATGGATGAAATACACGACATTCACGGGTTACGTCTTATTGTAAAAAATGAAGGAGACTGCCAGAGAGCTTTGGCAGTAGTTCATCAGTTGTGGTCGGAGGTGCCCGGGCGGTTCAAAGATTATATTAGTCACCCCAAGTTTAATGGGTATGTTGTGGCTCAAAATGGTTATTCTTCTGTGTTCTTTCTATGTTCGTCCCTATGTCTAACTTGATTCGATGATTTGAAGGTATCGATCACTCCACACGGTTGTGGTGGGTGAAGATATGGCACCCCTTGAAGTTCAAATTCGAACGAAGGAGATGCATTTGCAAGCTGAGTTTGGGATTGCAGCCCATTGGAGATATAAGGAGGGCGACAGTGAATATTCTCCGTTCGTCGTTCAGATGGTCGAATGGGCTCGATGGGTCGTCACTTGGCAGTGTTTGGCTATGAGCAAGGATGGATCATCTGTTGGTTCTGATGATTCAATCAAGCCACCCTGCAAATTCCCTTCTCATTCTGAAGGCTGTCCGTATTCATACAAAAGCCAATGTGATCGACAAGATGGACCGGTCTTTGTCATAACTATTGAGAATGACAAGGTGTGTTTCCCTTTTTTCGTGTTATGTCGTAAACTCGGTTAAGTGATGTAGTCTAACGATTGCGACATACTTACTGCAGATGTCGGTACAAGAGTTTCCTGCAAATTCAACGATCATGGATTTAATGGAAAGATGCGGGCGAGGAAGCTCAAGATGGACCTCCCATGGCTTCCCCACGAAAGAAGAGTTGAGGCCGAAGGTAAACCACGAGCGAGTGAACGATCCAAAATGCAAGCTGAAGATGGGTGATGTGGTAGAGCTAACTTCCACCATACCCGACAAGTCATTGACAGAGTGCAGGGAAGAAATCCAGCGAATGTACGATCGTGGGATCACGGTATCAAACCCCGGACCGTCCCCGGTTGCACCGAACACTGCTGGTTTCTGGAGCTGACCATACCTTATTTTGTCTATGATATACATTTAGTGATGATTATTATTCTGTATATAGCGGTCTCTGTACAAAACAACTTGATAGTTGCCACAAAGAAATAGATGACTAACAGAAACTCAGAACGGTTCAAAATCAAAGATTAAAAGTTCATTATTGAATGATAGAATTTCATTTTCATACCCAGATTTTTCTCTTCTAGACCTGTCATGTAATTTTGTCCAAGAATGTGGGAATTGAATATCCACATTCTAATGATTCAGATTCTATTGGAATGGACACATGGTGGAAACAGAACCACTGAATTCTTTTACCAAATAGAAACAAAGCTCGTTATTATACAATAGATCTTGTTCATATATATTAGAATGTGAAGTTTCAAAGCACCTTTTTAATTGGGGAAGTTGGGAGGAAAGTGTGAAACAACCAACCGAAAGGGATCAGGGTTGGCGCTTTCGTTCTCCTTCGTGTCACTCTAGACTCGACTCTCTTTTTTCTTCAATGGGGTCATAGCAAAATCGATCAAGGAAAACACTCCTCCTTTCTTGCGAATGGCGATCTCAAAAAGGTGGCACAAGAGGACCAAGCAACCTCCTCTTTCAGGTTGATCCTCCTCCGAGACGAACCCCTTGTTCTACTACCTTACCCCAGAAGGCCCCTCCATGGTTTCGACTGGTTGCTTCTGCCAGTTGATAGTTGGGACCAGAGCAATGTGTCTTGATGGGTGGAAGGGTGATACCAGGCCCACCAATGGACCTTGGCAATGGTATTTTGTTTCTATTTCTGGCCAACTCTAGAAGAACCTGACAAAACAGAAACACATGGTTATACACCCTTCCTTTAATGGCAGAGAGGATGGTAAGGGAAATCCGTGATATGATCATCATATTTCTATTACATACCATAAATATTTCTCACTAACAAGGCAATGATTTGGTTCTAAGCTGTCGTAACTTATTGTAACAGCTCGGACTTCCCCTCAAGATTTTAAAAAAGCATCTAATAGAAAGAGATTTCCACGTCCTTATAAGGAATACTTCATTCTCCTTTCTAATTGACGTGGGATCTCACACTTATCATGGATGAATGATTGTCATATTACTCAAATAATTACTGATATTCTATCAGTAAGTCCTATTTCCGAGCTTAATTGTCCAAAGAGTCACTCGCCACAAATCGATCACATCTAGTTAGGACTATGAAGCTATGTTACCTCTCTCGGAGAAGGTCGTGAGAAGCTGAAATTAACTTTTGACTGGAAAGCAAGCGTCACACCATCACATAGCAGCCTTGCCTGCATGCTCCGAGTAAACTCCTGCGTCCATCAGTACGACGTCAACATATCGATACCACAGCTCAAGAAACTGGTGCAAATCCGCAGTTCATAATCTTCAACTCTCATTGATTTCATAAGTATTTCACAATCTTTGCATCCCTTGGCAGGTCCTGCTCTCCCTCAGTTATTTCCTCACTGCCCCTTTCACCTGTACATGAAACTTGCATCATTCATATAACTTTCTAAACTGTTATTCAATCAAAAGCTTGTTTTACATTGCACGTTTGATATTATGAAGTAAAATATTATAATTTCCAAGACTTCCACATGTTCTGTACTTCTACCTTGCTCTTTTATCTGAACTTTTTGGAAGAAATCATTTAAAGAAAAATAAATGTTTGAAAATTTAAAAGCCTAAGTGATCAACCAAAGATATATCGACTAGTTAAAGCATAAATCATCGACTATAAGGTCAAAGATTTGAACTCTCACATTGTTAGTTAAAACAAATCTCTTATATGAAAAATCTTAGTCAACTTTCAGATGCAGCAATACTCTAGGAGATGAATTCTTTGCCTTTCATTGACAACATTGTGTTTGAAAATAGTAGCATGTAGATGGCAACTCCAGGACAAAAAGAACAGATCCATTGTCTAATCTTCCAGTTTGAAAATAAACAGAGGACGAAAACGAATTGGCTTCTCAAACTTAAAATTCAACGCTCAGCAAAATTACAGCATAATATTGCAATTTCCGACTTCTCCTTCCCAATTTCCCCCAACTTCAAACCTTCCAGAAATGCGAGAAAACATATAATTATAAATTGCATGCTACCATTTAGTTTCGAGAGCCATAATTCAGCAATTCAAAAATGGAAAAAGATTAAGAATCCCCAAATTCACATTTTGCCTCCAATCTAAGCACGAAAAAACTCGTCCGCTAGACAACATAAACTCAGTTGCCGCAAAACCTAAAAGTATGCAGAAAAATTGAATGAAACTCTCGATGGGATCAACAACGGAAAGAAGACAAATACTAACATACCTACTCGTAAAGGTCGAGCTTCGCGCGAGAAAATGGTGTTTTGGTTGTCATATCCACCTCCATTTCCACGACTCATCTTCTCTAGAATCTAAACAACAGAATTCCTTGCCCTAAAAATTTTGTAATTCATGTTTCAGTCAGAGCTTCATGGATTTGCTTCGAAGCCGATACGCTGTTCTTCGTTCTCGTCTCCTCTCCTCCAAGTTCAGCCCATGGAAGTCGATGTGTCGAATCCGGAGCCCCGAATGGTGCTACCAGGTTTCCAATGGATTCATGGCCCAAAAACTCGGCCCATATTTGAACGGAATGGGCTTTTGTTTTGGACGCTGAATTTAATTCATCAATGGTCACATACGCCCCTCACTCGAGGGGTATATATGTAATAGTGTACTAATTGGATCTTTTGGATTTGAATTCATAACTCAACTCAACCAAACCCAAAAATAAAGGGTTAGCAACGTATTACCAACCTCAGTAATAAATGTCAAATATTGTTAATCTCGGTAAAGGTAGGGTTAACTTGAGTTGGATTGTAACCCTATTTTCTGATTGGTCGGTTGACCCAACAAAGTAAAGTCAACCTGCAAACTGAATCGAAATTTTGACTTTAATAAAATTCAACCCAATCCAAACCGAAAGAAAATCTAACCTAAAGCTAGGAATTATATAATTGAGAGAGAGAGAGATAATCAATATAATCCATAGTCTCTATTATCCACGAGGATGAACAATTGAGTCAATGTCCATAATAGGTTAGAAATGATTTTCAATTCCGTTAGTTGAGCTTACGGACATTCGTATATTAAAATTAATGAAACTTAATAGACAAAAATTTGAGATATAGAATATACCTGAGACCAAGAGAAGGTAAGAAGATCAATGAAAAAGGAATGCATACAAGACGAGAGTGAAGGAGGGAAACCTAAAGGGACAACTCCAGCACCGAGCACGTGGTAGCACAGCGGGACAATGTTGTGAAGCCAATTTTACTTGACGATTTATTCGAATTATAATATTTTGAAGCCAAAATGAGCTGAATTATATTCCCGATCGTTGAACGCATTCTAGATCGAGAGGTAAAAAGTTCGAATCAGATAACATTTTAATTAATGAAGTGAATTTAAACCTTATTATATTTGTGTAATTTATATCCGTAATAAAAGCAAATTTGATTTTTCGTTATTATTATTTATTTTTTCCTGGGTCGAAATTTGATGAGTAATATTAACCAACCACTGCGACGGTGGTGGATTGCTCGAAGAAAAATTCCCCCCCCACTGCGCTACCCGTTTTCCCAATTTCTGCAGTTCTCCTCCGAATTGGCCTGCGTTATCTCCCGCCATTTGCCGGCAAATCGCCGCGGCACTGATCGGCGGTTGTGCCGGTCGCCATCTACAACGCATTCAAGGAGGGAACTGTTTTCACCGCCACAGAGACGCAGAATTCACTAATGTCCTCATCGGAGCAAGCCCTCGTCTCTCTATTCTCCCGATTTGCTTTATCGTTTGATGGAGCTGCTTTGGGCGCAGCCCTAGCCTACGCTGCGTTTCGTACCGTCCTCAAACTCACTGCTTCCTGCTCTGCTCTCGATGAGCTCCGTAAAGCTCCAAATGTAAGAGTATCTGATCTTCGCCATATGATTTCCGATGGAGATTCGCGACAATCCGAGTCCGATCAAAAGCTTGTTGTAGTTCGTGGCACCGTGGAGGCCAGGTCGTTTGTGGAAGGTAATTGGAAGAGCTTGCAGCCTAATGTATTGATTTCTCAGGAGTCCGGAGATAGAGCAGTGATTATTCAGCGTACGCAAATGGTAAAATCTCCTATGGTATTTTTGTTAGGCACTGCGTGACTGTGTTAAGATGTTTTTTTGGGGGCTGCAGTTCTTCTGGAGGAGGATAAGTGAAAACTGAGCTATGCAGTTTAGAGGATTGCCCGATTAAATTCAATATTATTCCGTTTGTTAGAATCATACGAATGCAGAGTGTTGTGTTAGTATTTGAGTTACTTGATAGCACTACTAAAAGTTGCCATTGAAGTCTAACCGATTAATCAATAACTCGTGAACTCGTGCATCGTTAAATTCTTTTCACATTATGAGGTCTCTAGTAACGTCCTTAAGTTCAGGAGCAATAATGATACGATTCTAGTCTGGATGAACAATGAAATGAGAAGAATCATGGGTGAAATGATATGATTCTAGTCTGCATAGGTCTTCTGGCTTGCCTGAATTTGTTCTATCATCATATATAATATACAACTACGGTATGCGGATTAAATATTTGGGAAACGTTGAACTCTTAAATCAATTGTAAAATCTTGGAGAAAATGATTTTCTGTTTTCTCAGACGAACTATCATAACCTAATTGGTTCTGCAGGTGTCTGTTTTGGTTCCCCTTTGCTATTCAGTATTGTGAATGTGTTGTGTGTGTACATAATATCCAGTTTTATAAACTAAAGCTTATTGTGTTGTAACTTGTGGCATTGTTTAGTGCATATTCAACGAATGGAAAGGCTTTCTTGGATGGACTTCTGATTTACGTGCAATTTTTGGAAGAACCTTTAGAAAGCAAGAGTCAACATCATTCAGAACGGTAAAATTTAGCTTCTCTCTGTTATTGCTATGGTTGGTTCACTCTTTTTGTCCTTAATAATAAAAGATCTTTGTATTCAATACCTTTTAAGCTTGAATGATATGGAACTTTGTTGTTCTGTCTGTGAATAAAGAGCAAATTGAAGTTGAATGATTTTTTTCTGAGGGCATCTCTTATATGTGGCCATTCTGTTAGGTCCTTTTCCTGTGATTCCTATTGGATCTTCTTTTTTCCCTTGCTTGTGGCGCGTGCAAGTAGGTTTGTAAGTGCTATCTCTTCAGAAAGGGGTCCAAACCGAGTAGGCTTGAAGGTATACCCCATAGTGTCAAGAAATAAGGAATTTATTGTAGCTAACTTTTGGTTTATAAAAACTAAATGTACTTCATATGAGATTGATGTGTGGCAGTTGTGATTTGTGAAGACTGAAGGTAAAATATATATTTTAGATATCTGGTTGAGCAGAAGGGAGCTATATTCCTGTGGTGATTGTACCAGAATTGAGTGCAATTTACATATTACGTCTTATCTTATGTGATGCTGATATTTGTGAAAAATTTTAACAGGTTCCTTTTGTCCTTGTTGAGGGTCATTCCCCGTATTCTGATTTTGCTGTTGTTAACATGGATGGCTCAAGACATCGTTTGCCTCTTACAACTGTGTATCGTCAACTGCAACCCGTTTGCGCTACTCCTTATACCTTCCTTCAAGCACTTTTTGGTCACGAGTACCCTGTGAGTTAGGCAATCTATATTGAATTAAAACATCTTTTTCTTTCTTTTTATTAATGGATTTTATCTAAAAATTCTTTATCGTGTTCTACTTTGAAGGTTGGGGTGCTTGATGAGGAGAAAATACTTCCATTAGGGAGAAATATCAGTGTTGTTGGCGTATGTAGTTTTAAAAATGGAGTTCCTGAGATAAAGTCATGCAAGGATTTTCCCCACTTCCTGTAAGTTTATGCATTTTGAAGTAGAAATAAAGTTGAGAAGGTCAAGATTATGCAATGTAATTTATGAAGAAGGTAAACCATTGATGCATATAATTAATTCTTTCCCTTGACTCATCCACATAAAATTTGACAATAAATGTGTTCTGTCTGCCAATAGTGAGCCCCATTGATTTGGCTGTAGTGCTCTGTTTGGGATTTTAACTAGGTCCTAGGATCAAGCCAATGAATAGAAAGCTTTCATTGTCTGTTGGAGTGTGGATTTTGGTTTATTCTTGCGTTAGCCAACACATATTGTTTCATCAGTGATGCTAGCAAATGACTAGTCTCTCCCACACCCACCCAAAGTAACCCACGCATGAGTGACTATGGGGAACAGTGTCTAATTTGTCCTTAGAGATAATCTTCATTGCAAAAACGGGTACTATGATAACTTACATTTCCTTGCAGATGTGAAATGACTAAAGATCAGATGGTTTTAGATCTAGTCTTCAAAACAAAATTTCTGTTCTGGAGTAGTATTGTCCTCGGTTCGTTGTCAGTTGGTGTTCTTGGCTGTTCTGTTATGAGGTATGTTATCTTTCTTTCTTTCTTTTATTTTATTGTAAACTGTCCCAAGGTATCTTAATGTTGATAATTTTTTTAGGCATCCATGAAATGTTTATATGCTTGGCACTCTGCTTTCTGTTGCTACGTTTTGAATATCAAATTGGTAGGGTAAGGGATGAAGTAGAAGAGTAGCAATGATTTGTAGCAATGATTCTTCAATCTTTATTTTTCTAGTGGTGAATTTCTCCTGCTTTTATGAACTAACTATTGTTCTTATTTGGTCCTCGAATGGAATGAATAAAAGCTTAGCTCTACTGCGTAGTGAGTGAGTGATGAATGATGAGATTTGATGAATGTTTGAACTTATTAGCGCCCATTCTCTTTCAGAAATTGGAATAGATGGAAACAGTGGAGGCAACAGAGACGGTTACAGGATTCAGGGAATGATTCCACCATGTCACAACTGGATTCAAGCAATAATATCCCCATCTATGGCGACTTTGGAACTGCATCAGACGACGAGGTAGCATCCATTCCAGATGACGAGTTATCCTCAAACGTTCCAGATGGACAGTTGTGCGTGATCTGTCTCATGAGGAGAAGGCGATCTGCTTTCATTCCATGTGGTCATTTAGTCTGCTGTGAACGTTGTGCCATATCAGTCGAACGCGATTCAGCTCCCAAATGCCCCGTCTGTCGCCAGCAGATCCGTAGTTCTGTGCGAATATATGATTCGTGAGAAGAAGCAAATTATTTCTCAGGTTCGAACTCATTCATCTGGGTGGCCTTTTTTTTTGCTGATACTAAGATTTTATATATATGCAATGCAAGTGATTCCTGGGGCAGCAGTGATGGCTCTTGTAAATACCAGACAATATATACTCTTTTATACTGTAACTTGCCAATGTATGGTACTAAAGAAAACAAACAAACAAATAAATGAAATCTTGCTGATATGTGATGAGAAAGGAAGCTTCAGTATTGGCTCTGATATTATTACTCCCTCCTCTCCCATTTTTATTATTGGACGTTTAAAATTGGACGAAGTTTTTTTTTTCTGCTAATTGGTTAAGATATGTACCTACGGTTAAATTTGATTATGAGAGCTTTTGTAGCCAGGTTACCCGTCATTTTGATACTTAAAAGATTACGAGACTTTTGCCCTACTCTAATTTTCCGTTTCCACCGGAAACTGTGCAAGGGAAGTGTTTGGCTTCCCTTGATGAGGCAGATGAAGTGTGGGTGTGCATCCAATGATCCGGTTCAATTTGTTATTCTAACCAAGTCTTAAGTTTTTATGAGTCTCGAAAAAAAAACCGAAGATCACTGTCATTCGTTTGAGTACTTCTTTCTTAAATCGATGTTTCGATGTTAATTGAAGTGTATGACTAACCCAATAACGAAAGTTTCGTAAGGAACTCGAACAGGCTACCATGAGACAAACAACAAACAAAAACTCGATTCGGAACTATTATGTGTCATTTGTCCGTGTCAACCAACACTTTGAAATGCCTCGACTTCTTGACTTTTTTTAGAACAGGTCCGAGTCAAATAGCCAAATTCCAACACAAAGCTACAGTGTATTTATTTCTTGGCCAGAAATGAAGGGCTTGAAGAACTCTGCATTGGAAATTAGTGAGCAAAACAAAAGGAGGAAGCTTTGAACAGTTTCAACCGCCATTGGATTTCATCCCCAACTTCCAAAACGAGCAAAACGAAACAGGTTGCCCTTTCCACCATAGCCCTACGCATCCATCTTTCTCTTCAACTCTCATCTCCCAGTTGTTATCATACCTTCTCATTGAAGCTCGAGCCGTATCAATGGTGTCTTCACCGAACAACTTTCTTGCAAATCCAGCATTTCTCATTCTTTCGCACCATTTTTCCATTTCCTCGTTCATTTCGCCTTCGTTCCTCAGCGCCTTTGCGGCTTCGCCTTCCATCAACTTTCTTTCCTCGCTTTCTCGACCTTTGAATGCGGAGCTTGTTGAATCCAGGAATCTCCATAGGTATTCAACTTTTCTTGTGAATCCGGTGTCGAAATTTCCGCAGTTGGTACAGCTACATGCCATGTTGTTTTCGCTTAGAATCACAGCTTTCGGTTCTATCTTTCTTAGGTTTTGTAAGAACTCGAATCTTTCGTCTGGAGCGTAGTGTTTCAATTGGTGGAGTCTGAACTGTGCGCAAACGATTAAGATTTCGTCCGGAAACTTGCCGATTACTTGCGCATTTAAACTCAGTAGCGAGAGACTATCGAGGCGGTTGATCTGTAAATTGATGTTTAATGATTTCGCGAAGCTAAGAAGCCGAGAGGAGATGTTGTCTCCCGGTGGACCAATCGAAAACGGCGTCTCTGCATTTTGATCATGTTCGACGGTTGGAGCGATGACTGTGAGGCGAATTAGCGGCGGGGGTCCACCGGAACGGCGAGTTAAGGCCTCGAGCAGCGTCGGCCATTGCACACCATGAGAAACCCCGATGTCAAGAATGTGAAGATTGCGCGAGCGATTTGGTTCTTCAGAGAGAATGTGGAGAATCGAAGAATTTGCGATGTTATTTGGAAAGGCAAACCATGGACTCACCTCGTGGAATTTGATCAACGACCTCTGAAAGAATCGAGGGTCCGTCGAAGCAAAAGTAACCGGCGCAAGTGTGGAAGAAGAAGAACATGAAGAATTGGAGGACAGGTAATGGGCCAAAGCTCGGAGACCATAGGCGGCGAGCCGGTGGTTAGCATCGCCGGTGGGCGAGGCGAGCTCTTGAAGAACACAAAGAAGGTGATGTACTCTTGTTGCATCCCCTTTTATGATAGCATTAGCACAAGGATTTAGCAATTGCTCTGCCCACCTTCCTTCCTTGTTATTCCCATTATTATTGTTATTCCCTGTGGCTTTTGATGAATTCCTTTTGTTCCCCACTGATTTCTTCATCACAGTCACACCTGCAACAGCTCCACTGCTTTTATCTGCACCATTTCTGCTCTGATTGTTCTGGTTCTTCCTCTGATTCTGTTGGGTTTGCGATGGTTTATGAACTGTATCATCCGGAGCTTTTCTTTTCTTAGTCAAATCAGATGGCGTCAAGTGATGGGAAGTGGAAGTGTTAGGTGGTTTAGTACTGACAGTGGTGGGGGAACTGCTTAGACAGCCATTAATCAGATCTTGGCCTATGTCTTGGTTCTCATCCCACCATTGATAGCAGTTTATAGAGCTAGAGTTGTAGGAATCATCCGGGAACGGGGAAGAAAAAAAAGGAACTGAATCCGCTAACCAATCCAATATATGATCTTCAATGGTCATTTTGCTTGGTGAAAAGTATTTCAGACAGAGAGGGAAAGAGAAGATATCCTTTTGATAAGGGGAGGGAGGGAGAAAAATGGAGTTCAAGGGGTTGCTGGGTTTATGGTGGAGGCTCATTGACTAAAAGATTAGGATAGAGCCAATAATGTTTGCATTAAAATAAGGCAAGGGGTCACTTACAACCTCCATAAACAGACAATGGTGGGGTATTTTCTAAGCTATTTGTGCTGTTCTTTTGGAGGATTTGATGTTTGGTTTAGGTATTTTAAAGTCGAAATGAAAAAGTCGGGCACTGTCTCTTCCTCAGTCTGGGTTGTTAGTTAACTCATCATTCTTTTGTATTGTGAAAAAAGTATGCAGTGGTGGTTGGAATCCATGAATGGGATTTGGTGGAGGAATCTTTTAAACTTTTAGCCATGGTTTTGAGCTTTGCCAAAGTCTTTGTTTTGCTACTGTTCTTGAGGCTTTGAACGTATTAGTTTTTTGTTCTTAAAAAATTGAAACATCTCTCCAAACCCCTTTTTGGAGGCTTTAAATCCTGAAAATAGTATATATTCTGTGTCTTATTTTATTCCCAATTGTTGTTTATCCAGGTATCATGATTGGATGTTCGAGGAACTAAAGTTGACTTCAGCTGGAACAAACTTTTAAATCATTGGTTAGTTCATCGGTTCCTTTCGTTATTAACTACTAGTTTTATCTATGAACTATCTATCCTTATCTGCTGTCAGTTCTTTGATTTCCTTTGATGATTTGCAACAAAATTTGCAAATTTTCTGCCTTTTAATGATTCTTTTCCAATCTTTACTGGTAATAGTTCAAACCCATGCTCCCATTTGAATCTCATTCTTAGTTAAGGTATCTATGGAATCTGTTCTATCTGGAACCATTCATCTTGACTTAGTTCAATCAAATTGGTTGTTGAAGTGGAAGAAACTGATACTTTTTATCCTTTCAAAGCAAATCAAGCTCATAAATACATACTAAAATTGTTGGGGAGTGGGGAGGGGGTGTGGGGAGACACTTGAAATCAACTAATTTAAATGACATTAACATACAAATAGCAATGGAAAAGAACATCAATCAAATTTGTTACTTGGAAATGCAGGATGACTGAAGCAAACACATCCTTTGGCCAATTCTAACCACTCCCGCCGAGAATAGCTTTGAACTTTTTCACCAGAGCGGGGTCGAGGAAAGTGGTCTTCGACACCAAGTCAGTACTCAAGTCGTTGGCAAACAGAGCAAAGTCAGTGATTTGGAGACCAGGGCTTGGGCTGCTAAATACAGGATAACCAACGGCAGTCACACCACCAGCATTAATCTGAAAATGTAGCAACCCTTGTGGGAATATCATGAGATCTCCCTTTTTAAGAGTCTTCACGAAGACAGCATTAGCGGAAGAGATAAAACCAGCCTGAATGATACCCTGAGTCACAATCAGCAATTCTGAAGCTCCTGGGTGTGTGTGAAGTGGTATAACACCACCAGGAAGCAAGTCTAACCGAGCAGCCGAGAGACCGAGTCCATTCACGCCTGGATACTGCTCCACAAACGCTGGGGTGACTGCAGCTTTGATTAGACTTGTTATGTTTCCAGCACCGCTTAGGCCTGAGTACACGAAGTCATCTGCAGTCACGGCGCTCTTGCAGGCGTAGCCTGCTGGCCCTTGTGGACCTTTTAGATCAGCAACGCAGAAGTCTTGGACGGCTGCATTGGAAAGAGAGAAGAGGAGGGCAATGACAAATAGGGAGTGAAACATTTTGGTTTCCTTTTCGGGAAATGGTATAGTTTCTTGATGAGTTCCATGGAGTTTATATAGAAAGTAAGTACTCAATGGCTTCCCTTACTCCCAAGTTGCACCAACATTCACTCAATGCTAGGATAGGAAGATTGATGAATGAATGAATGAGAGCCACTGCATCTGAGCATGTGGCTGCTAATGAAGATCAGATTATCAGAGAAAGAAACAGAATCTCTCTTTTATGAACTTTATGACACAATGTTTGGATATTCTTCTGCCCATCTAGGACGCATAATGTTGCAAGTAGGATAAAGAAGGAGATGAAGCAAATAGTGATGCATTAATGAGCTAAAATATGCTTACCATTCAGGATTAACACATGGATATGCGATGAAAGTGGAGTGGACCAGCTGCACATGGGCAGTGGAAAATCTGTATAAGAAGCCAACTTTTAGGTTAGCTAAGTTCCAGTTCAAGACGTTCCATCAAGTCTCTCTGTATCACATGGCACCATGAATGGACTTGTGGCCTTGATGAACTCCCTGCCATGGCGTTCAGGCTGTCTGCATTTATTCAAGAAGGCACTTTTCCTCATCTGGAAAATTAACAGTTGAGATTACTACAATTCATGATCTTCCAAATCAAAACAGATGTGGGGTGGGAGAAGGGATGAAAAATCATATCTTCTATTCCATTTGTAATAATTGTGTTATGTGATCCTCCATACTTCGAACAACTCGAGATTGTAAATAAAGACTATCAATCATAAATTAAAAATGTCCTCCATGGTAATGACAATAACTCGAAGCCTATACTAATATGACTGCCAAATATTTTGTACAATTAACCTTATGGCCATGTTTCCAGATAATGCATCTTGATATTATACAGCCTAAAAAAATGCTTTCGAAAAGTCGTATCTCTAAGAACCATCACACTCCACACAAAGTTCAGGTCCCCTCTGAAATGGCATCCCTCCGATAAATCTCATATTATTGTTGTATCCCTGAACCGACACCGGGGTAATTCACCGAATAGTCGAGATCTACCAGCATTCTACCAGCATAAGTTTCAAACGTAGTTAATACATCAGAACCTCGTCATTTGCTGCAGTAGCTGCGAACCAGTTGTCTGTGACAATAGTTGTTCTGAGCTTGATGAAGGCCTGATTAGGTTGTTGGTACCGATGGGCATTCCAACCCCTTGTCGGACTATCTCTTTAGGGCTATTTACGTTTGTTTCGACACGGGATGCTTCCTTCAGTATGCGTATCTGACGAAATCCCCAGAAGAAAAGATTTGAGACAAATGATAAAAGAAGAAACTCCATACACTTGAACAGATAATTCTGGCTTACCATGTCCAGACGTTTCTTGTGAGTATCACTTGATGATAACTACAATATTCAAACTTCTTATGGTTAAACAAAAATGAAAATTTGAAAGATGAATCAAACAGAATGTGCTTATTTAGAGATAGAGCAAGAGGATTTTCTTACATTTTTGTTGCGATTCTTCCACTCGTCACTCGAATATCCAGGAACGTTTAACTGCCAATTCTTCTCTGCACATTATACACAATTTATGATTGTTAAAGCTTTGTCTAATAACGGGATCTTGAGTTAAATTCGAGATAAATGTAGAATAAGATAAGAGACAACCTAGACCATACAAAAGATAATCTACCTCATATGAAAGAATTGATACCCAAAATCTAAATTTTAAATCAGAAAAGGTGGACACATGCTGCTGATGCATAACCATTCAAGAAATCAAGTCAAAAGAAGATAATGAGGAAAGCAGTACACACCTAAGTGTAGCAATAAATCTTTGGATTCTAAAGTTGAAGATTTTCTGTGTTTTGCCAGATTGCATGAAAATGTGGTCACCTGTATTACAACAACAAAAAAAATCTCAGTTTTCACATGATATACCATCCAATCATACTGAGATGATGATAGCTTATGAATGAGCCATGAAATCAACATGTTTTTTTTTTCTTAGATGGAAACAAAAATATTCATTGTAAGAATGAAAAAGGACTAATGGTTAAAAGATATGAACCTCCATTAAGGAATGACAAAAAAAAAAAAAAAAAAAAAAAAAAAAAAAAACAACTAAGAAGGATATAAACAACAATCCAACTAATACTAAATCTTCTTCAACAAAGAGCCTAAAATAATTAACCAATAAAAACCTCGAGATAAAGGCCAAGAAAAAGCTAGGCTCCCAAGTAAAAGAAACTGACAAAGGAAGGAAGAAATTCGACAGCTCAGAACAATCTTTCCACACAATAGACGGCTGGGAAGACCATGCATTATCTGTAGAATGTTGTGTAGCCTAAAAGTCATTTTGAAGAAAAAGACGACCTGACTTTTGCAATTGATCAACTCAACAGCTTTGGCCATAAAATCCTTGGATGCGAAGTACCTTCATTCATCAGAACTTGATTTATTCTCTTTAGGTCCACTAATTTTGTAAAACTTAGAAGAATGGACAGTGCTTTGAGGGTTCTGAATGAAATATATCCCCAAATGAAGAGACAATTTCTCAAACTTCTTATATATTATCTCAATCTCAGCTGGAATGAAACCACAAATATTTATTTTAACTTCAATTTCAGCCGATGTACAATCAATAAATTATGAGTCTAAGAAGAGATATTGACCAAACCTCCAAAATGTTGACCAATTGCTTCAAAACAAGAACAATAAGGTAAAGGAAAACTCTTCAAGAAATTCAGCCATCATATCCCTCAATAAACTTTCCATCAAACTCCAACTTAGACGAATCAATACTCAATTTCAACAACGCCTTATCCGTCATGAAAGGATTAATAGAAATCTTGGATTAAACCTATAAAGCATTATGAATGTCCTTCCAAGAGTTGTGGACTAACAATGTAAAAACCACCGAGACAAAATTTTCATTTCCTCCCCTTCCTTTTGTTTCCCCTAACCCAAAAAGAAGAAGCATCTAATCTCATCTTTTGCACCACTTCCGTCTAACTTTTGGGAGTTGATTATCGTTGACTAGCTTCGGCTGCAATATTTCTCCTTCCTCAACGTGATTAGTAAAAATGAAAGTTGAGTGCTGATTTTTCTCAACTCTTAAGAGAAAATCTCTTATCATTTCCCAGAAAACTATCCAACCTTTCTTTTAAACACCGGGTACTAGAAACTTATTTCTACCTCCAGAAGGTGGTCAAACTACACATTCAAGCTTTCAACCCTGGGGAGACCAAAACTTGGTCAAATGAATTGTCTCAAAGACAACCCTGGCTTGCTTAGAAAAATGTGCATTGGATTTTGCAACAATTCAATAAAAGAGTTTTCAATTTAAAAACAGATGAGAGATAGAGCAAAATTTTCATCTCGTTCTTCATGTCTTAAAAAAGAAAAATTCACGTCATTTTCATACTAAATGCAAAAATAAAGGTAATGGATACAACTGCTCATCATCTCCATGGAAATGGCTAGGTGATAGCAGAGAAGCAAAAGGGGCGGAGGAAAAAGAATGGGCTAGGCAACAAGAGGAAAAAAAATGAAAGAAGAAAAACGAAATAAGTAATAAAAAAAAAGGACGGAAAGGGTCCGTCAAAGACGATAGTAAAAAAAGACTGAGGGAACTGACGAGGAGGAGGGGTGGCTAGGTTTTAAATAAGAAAACCAGGGGAGAATAAGACTAGACAACACCTAATAGGATCGACGAGGAGGAAGGGTGGCTAAATTTTAAATAAGACAAAGGCAGGACAAAACTGAAGGGTGACAAAAGTGGGAGGGAGATGGCCAGCATGTGGTTGTGACAGGGAGCGTCGGCCAAAGGTGGCCAGTTGGACGTGCCTGCAGCTGTATGAGGCTGAACGGTGGTGGCTAGGATTTTGGAAGGGGAAGGGTTAGGAGGAGAGAGCCAACCCAGAAAGGGGTAAATCAACATGAATTATAAGACAATAGAAGCTATATAATTAATCTACACAATAATGAAAATCGTTCACCAAAAGGACTGTAACAACACTTCACTTGATTTGTTTGTGAAAATGGAAAGGTATGGGACCATATTGAGAAAAAATCTTTCAATAAGACATCAGTGTTGTAGCAGCGAAGTATTGATTTTCTAATGTTCTCATAAGACATGGTTCACACGTATTTGTTGGTGAGAAAGAAGGGAGGACAATAAGCACAATGGAGTACAGTAGTATATTTCTACAAACAGATAAATGACGAAGAAATAGACTGATCCAGTCCAAAAGTGTGTATATACCATGCTCCCTCCATCGAGAAATAGAGTCCTTTTGGTGATTTATTAAAAGGAAAAAATCCAGAAATAGGACCCTAAAAGTTGAGCAAGGGAAGAGGCATAGTAATTTATCATAATTACAAAATTGAATGAGTTATCCTATAAAATAAACTCTGCACATTGTTATAAACTATACTAGCTCAAATATTGTTGTCATGTAATAATGCACATTGCTCAAGGGGAAGGCATGACGTATCAAACTTGTGGCCATTGATAAAACCCCTCCAACTACTACCTTAAAATGTCTCAAGTTTTTTATTCGATGGAATACAGTTTTAATTATAATTTTCGTTTTAACCACAACGATGAGAAAAATGGTTGAATAGTTTCAGGTATAAGGAGTATGATCAAATCACACAGCACCAGAATCACTAAGTAAACAGAATAAATAAAGTCTAAAATGAAACAGAATGAACAAATATTTGGACTTGGTCAGATTACACAAAAAGAAAAGAAAAATCATCCCAAAGTTTAGCTGTATAAAATGAAACAATCATCCCACGATGCAGATTAGATGTCCCTAAATCATGGTTTTCTGGTGATTAATGTGTCATAGAATAGCATACTATTTTTGGGAAATACTCAGAACATGATCCTCAGTGACATTTTGCAGTAATTTTTTGGTTTTTCTTTTAAATGACTTACTATTTGTAAATGTTTTGAAATATTATTATATAGCGCTTCATATAGTGAATGACTAACTATTGATATGTATTGATATTGACTACAACTAAGGGACATATGCAATTATTATAGTATGAATATAAAATTAGGTGGAAATGTACAAAGGGGTCTGGGGAAATTGTAGTAGAGCGTGGAGATCTCACCGAATCAATAAAATCATCAGCAATCTCCAAGAGAAGATCTTCGACTTCAGGTTCCAGCTTTCCAAGTGGATCTACCTGCAGACATTCAAAGTTCAACTAAAAGAGCAAAATAAAAAACGGAGAAGTATAAGAAAGATAAGAGTAGATAAGAAATATAAAAATAGGAAGGACCTGTGAAACTAGATCTTGTATCTTTCTCTTTCCGAGGACTTGAGTGGCAGCTTCTGTCCCTTGGCTTGAACTTCCCCCAGGTGTACTAGTGCCAGATACTGTGGCATCTGGATGTGATCCAGTCAAACTGAGAGATTTCTGAGCCGCAAGTCCAGCTATCCTAGGAGAATGCTGCTGCTGATGCAATGCTGGTTGCAGAGATTGGAGTTGTGATGGTTGTTGAAGTAGTTGTTGTTGTTGTTGTTGATGAAGTGGCTGTTGTTGTAGCTGTTGTAGCTGTTGCAGTTGCTGTTGTTGTTGTTGTTGTTGCTGTGCCTGTGGCTGTTGCGGTGCCTGTGGCTGTTGCTGTTGATGAAGCTGTTGATGTCCCATGGACGGCTGTTGCTGTACAAGCTGAGGAAATTGTTGAGGGTTCAAGGACATGGAGTTTTGATGCAATTGACTAGATGAAGCCAGTTGCTGCTGCAACAGGACCTGTTGATGCCTCTGTTGAAGACGATATGACGGTGAGCCAGGGCTAGACATCGATGGCATTTGCTTCAGCCACTGTTGCTGTTGCAAAGAGTTCTGCATCATGGTTGGCTGCCCATTCTGAGCTAAATTACTCAATTGTTGATTCATGAATCCAAGATTTGACATTCTCGGTAAGTTCTGAACCTGCAATTTTTAAAAATTGACTGGAGGTCACAATCATGCCCGCAATTTTACAGTTACTAGTCGCTAGACTCAAAACAAAATAGCAAGAATGCATAGGAAGATTATTAAATCTAATTAGCAGACGAACATATCCATACGAGCAATAAAGTGATATTGCAGTTACTGATATAACAGTTGAATGGATCGAGTTAGAGAACACGATGAACAAAAAATAAGCAATGATGACAATAATTAGAGTTATACCATGTACCATAGTAATAAAAAAAGGAGAGAATTAATGGACACTACTTGAAATTAGAGACGTATTATAAATATACTATATGTCCTACGGGCATTATTCGTAATGCAATGAATGTTTTCAACTTCACAAAGAATAAGTTCTATATTTGTAATATCAATGAATGTTTAGATTACAAAAATAAGTTGTAGGAGATAAAAGCCAGAGCCCTACACTTCTATTAGAGTCAAAAAAAGAGTACCCTTCATGAATTGCAAAAATAAGTTCCAAACAATCACCAAAGTAACCAACAAAGCATTAATCTTCCAAGGTTCAAATTTAGCCTATCAGTCCATATGGGAATATAACGATATGTATCTGGAAATAAAAGTGCAAGAACATTAGATACAGAGTAGAGATGCTTTGTTAGGAAACCTGTGGAGAGGTAAGTGAACTTTGTTGGGATAATTGCTGCCTTATTTGACCTTGGTTTATTCTCTGTTGGGCATATGACGCAAGGCCATTAGCTCTTAGTTGTGAGCTCAAATTCATTGATCCCATCATCCCCATTGTTTGCATTCCTTGCAAAGGTTGCCCATGAGAGTTACTCGACTGAAATTGTGCACCCTGGACTAACCCAGCTTTTTGCTTCGACTGTACAAAAGGCTCAGTTTCAGCGAAAATCAGCAACAAAATATATTTACCTTAATTTCTAATGTCAACAGATCAATAATTTAGAATTATAAACGAAGAATCTAAGGCACAACCCATCACCAAAATGCCAACGGCGTGCCTAGAAAATTTTCAGATTCACTTCAAATATAAACACTAACAATATCCCAACACCAAAGTAGCATCAATACCAATTTAAGACCAACGAATACCATGAATTCAGAGCATACCGAAGCCAGTAACTGTGACTGCAAGTTATACTGAGCAGCAGCAGTCGCCCCAGACAACATGGGCAAATGGTTACCCTGACCCATTAATGCAGACCGCGACAGATTCCCGGTTCCCATTTGGTGTTGTTGGTTAGGCTGTTGTAGCTGCTGTTGCTGGTTTGTAGAAGACCCACCAAAACTCATTGGACTATAAAGCCCCGATTGTTGTCTCATCATCCCAAACTGCTGCTGCTGGTTCAACCTGGACATTGAAGGGGACCGTTGTAGAGCCTGCTGTATTTGGAAATTTGTCATCGCATTCGCATTCTGAGGCTGTTGCACCATTTGCTGCGAATGTTGTTGCAGTTGCTGTTGCTGCTGCTGCTGCTGCTGCTGCAGCTGTAGAGGCTTCTGTTGGTACTCCAATCCAACCGCAGGGCTTAGCTGTTGCTGCTGCTGTTGATTTTGCGGATTTTGAGAGATATGCGAAAGAGGGGGGGGAGAAGAAATTTGCGATAGTGGATGTAACTGGTCAATCGAGGGCGACTGAGCAAGCGCAGAAGCCGCAGGAATGGGAGGATTTGCAGACGAATTTGTTGAATTAGATGAATTCTGCGGAATAGCAGCGGTTGAAGGTTGGACCTGCGGTTGTTGCTGCGGCGGCGGTGGGGAAGGGTCCATAGGGTTCGGTTGGACCGGTCTAGGCGACGGAATACTGTCTGCCATTGAAATTTCCCGATGAGCAAAGATGAAGAAGCTAATTCCTGGTAGAAATTGAATCAGAATTTGCAGAGAAACGGGTGAATCCGAAGGGGAGAAGGAAAGAGGAACGAGGAAGAGAGGGCGGGTGAAGAACCGAGTGTTGAAGAACGAGCAGTAGGATTCTTACACGTCATCTGATGGACCGCTGTACGAGTGGGTCACGTATACATTTTTGTGCAATTTGATTCAGTCATAACACGTGGATAGTTATTGTACGTCCGATTTGAGTATACTATTGATTGCTGTGAGCACTCCCGCATCTGATCTAAAAGCTTTAGCAAATTTAATAATTTTTTAAAAATACCTTTAAATTCAAAAAAAAAAAATATAATAATAATAAAATAAAAAAATTCAACACTCTTCAACTATTTTAAAAAATTAAAATAATATATTTAAAAATATATCATAAAATTTTAAAATTAATATCATTTACATTTACTATAAATTTTTTTTACCTATATCAATTATGGTCTAAAATGAATTTTTCTACTCAGGCCAACCAAATAAATGGCTTTACTGCTAGTTTGGTTGGATGAATTGTTTGAAATATGAATGGTGTGTGACCTATGGCCCCTGCACGTGTCATGCCTTGTAATTGTTTTTTAATGCCTATTTACTATGTTATTGTTGTGATACGAGTATGCTATGCTATTGGACTCGTTATATTACGTTATGATGTAATATGAGACATGCTATGTTATGGAATGTCATGTTGATATATTCATGCCATGTAAAATTGTGCTATAAAAAGTGTTATATCTTGTTATAAACTATATTATGAGATGACCGAAAATGATTAACGCATGTTATGAAGTGAATGTAGGTATAACTTGTATCATAGACACATGTTATGATTTAAAACTATGGGGACCTCATGCATCTTGAATGTTTACATACATCAAAATACTTCTCTGTTATGATCAATATGAACACATATACTACGTTGTTATGTTATTATGTACACCATAATACTATGCACGCTCTTTTACCTCTATGGTATTCCCATAGCATAAATGTACAATAGTTGAATGCCAAATCCAAGGGTACATATACGAGCCTACCTAGGGTCCATGTGTGTGTACATGAGGCATGTATAGAGAAGTACTACACATCCAATTATGTATGAACCAGAAGTAAACACCAAAGCAATGCCATGATGTTTTTTTTATGAAAGGATTAATCCCAACATGAATGCTTTATGTCTGCATTTATTAGTTAAATATTTAAATTACATGCTACTTTTCTATTTAGGTAGGGATAAAACACTCATATACAGTTGACAAACGACGTCATATGTGAAGGCCATAGAAGTAAAGTTAGTGCACCAATGTTACCTATCCTTTAGCTATTGTTAGTTTAAATGAATTTATTTTGAACTTACAAGTCCATGGTATCGTTTATGAAATATTTTTCTTAAAGACTTTTCTACCCATGATTTACATTTGAATATTTTTAAATGAATTTTTACACATACTAAACATGTCTAGTAGAATTCTTGTTTTTAACCGTAAAATAGGATCGAAACATATATAAAGCTACAAAGTATATAACTTAGGTAATCTCTCAAAACAAAAACAAAAAAGGAAGAAGAATGTAACTCAATAAATTACTAACCTATAATTAAGAATAAAAGGTTCAAATCACTACAAAAATTGCATCAAATAATTTACTAAAACATGAAATAAAAGGGTGAAATTAGGAAGAATTTCAATAAAGAATTAAAAAGTAAAAAGAAAACTACCTATTTTCATGAGACAACTACTTGAAATAATAACATGTTCATATAAAAGTATGGGGCAAAGAGAAATATGTGCTCTATCCAAAAGATCATCATGATCTTGGCTGATAATGAAAAAAATGGGATTCTTGCAGGCAAGATTTTGAAAGTTATTTTTTCAAGCTTAATCACAATGGAAAAGAATGGATTATCCAGAGACCAAGAGCAGATGGTAAGAAGTATTCAATCTAATATTTTGCAGGCATGATACTTATAGATATATATACACATTCTTACATCTTAAGCATGGTCATTGAGGCTGCTCTGTGTTCTCCAGTAATCTTGCCAAGCATCCTTTCCAATCTGAAACTTGTTCATTTCCATTGGCTACCTGTTGTGACATACAAGCAACACAAAATTTGAGAATACGATGTATTTAGAGAGATAAAGCGAGAAAAGAAATAATTTGAACTATTAGAGGTTGTTTAAGATCAATATCTTGCATGACCTCGTTTAGAATTTTGTAATGCGAGTGTTTGAGATGAGTTCTAAAAGAATATTTTAAAATGAAAACAATTCTTATCATGCATTTTTGAATTGAACAAGTGTTATAAATAGTTCGATTTTACGTTATCCTAAGAGCTATAATTTTCTTTGTATTGATATCTGTTAATGTCTGGAATAGCTTGCATGCCTCTGGATAATTCTTACCGGAATTATTTTGGTATCAAAAGTAACTTGTAGGATATTAAATTTTGGAGCTCATGGCTCGAACCTAGTTTATCTAAATCTTTGACTTACAAGACAATCGCTTGACCTGGCCCAGTTAGTTTAGTAACAAAAGTAACTTGTAGGATATTAAATTTTGGAGCTCATGGCTCGAACCTAGTTTATCTAAATCTTTGACAATTCTTACAAGACAATCGCTTGACCCGGCTCAATTAGTTTAGTAACAAAAGTAACTTGTAGAATATAGAATATTAAATTTTGGAGCTCATGGTTCGAACCTAGTTCATCTAAATCTTTTACTACTTAATTTGTTTTTATTGGACTAAAAACAATTTTCATCCCTACAAAAGCCATCTCAAACTTAACCTTAATGTATTCTCTCATAACGACTGAATCCCTTACCTCCAATGTTCAAAAGTTAGATGTAATTTATAAAAAGAATCCTTGGTGCTCGGCATAAACATTAAGTATGCTAACCTCAAACGTGAACCCTCCTTTAGGAACTGCACCAGTAGCTTCAACACAAATGAAGGCGGCATCCTCCTTGCTGAGCGATCCCGTAGCTGAACAGCCCTGAAGGATAGCACCAAAGACGCAATAAAACGACCCAGTAGATGCAAAAATATAATAGTGTTTCATCTCTATTCTCAATTCTCAATATCAAGTTTCCATACACTCCCTTGAAAAAACAGCCATGTTTGGATTAGGAAACAGTTATTTACTATGTTAGTCAGCTGTGTTAATAAAGGAACATTTAAGACAGAAGAAGAACCTCTTCAAAGCTGAATCCTTGATTTCCACCAGGTGTGTCTTGCAACAAGCCAGCTCGTATGATGGTGTAAGGAATTCTTGATGCCACTAGAACTGCTTCGTCTTGCTCAGCCAATTTTTTTGCATTGCTTTTGAGAAGAGCTTGGACACCACTAGCACTTCTATAATTGGATAACTGCAACCTTATTAAGTCATGATAATGAATATAGATCGAAGGAATGAAAACAAACAAATATTATGTTTGCTAATCAAAGAGACTGAACCTGCGATAAGAGAACTATATGTTGCACTCCTTTCAGGCTTCCAGCATTGGATAAGAAACCTTCCTGGTGATACAGTTATTAACAAACCTAATGAGTGAATTGACCATCGTGGTTCCCTTTAATAAGGCTCAACAGGAAAAATCAATATATTTACACGAAAGTTTGAACTTAAAGGAGCTCAAATACATGCTCATGCTTATAAATTGACAATAAACTAAAACTCAATGCAAAAAGCTTAAGTTGATAAGCTATGGAATATTCATGTTCTTAACACTCCCTCTCACCGGTGGCCATGTGGGCTTGGAAATTAACACGTGAACCGATAAGTAATTAACAATGTTAACTGAAGAGTAAATGAAATTATACAAATTTGAACAAAACACCTCATACTCTAATACCATATTGAACTACCTCAAGAACTTAAAGAGAAGGTAAGTTATGGATATTTTTTGATCGTTTATTCATATTCATAAAATCGACGTGCTTGCTTAGGAAAATCCAGGAAGAAACTAGCCCAGTAATGTAAGATGATCCACATTCATCCATATACCTTCTAAGTTATCCATGTCCAACACCAGGATGGTTTCTAGTATAATTATGATTCCCTTCTATATATTCTTCTGGTAACATAAGAACAAATTGAATCAACATAAAACCAAAAATCTTAAGATGCATCTAAGATTGAAGTAAACATGAGTAAATACAAAAGCAAGATATCATGTTGCCCCGAGCATTTTCGAACAAGAGATAGGGGGAAATTTAGGGGGAAAAGAAGAGCAGATTGGAATCTAATGTGCATACTTTTGGGCATATGATAGTGCGAACTTCTCTCAGAGCTTTCTTCAATGATTGCTCATCTCTTATGTCACCGGCCACTGGCTTTGCACATGAAACGAGAACCACAGAACCAACAGTTCATTTAAGTTCAAACAACGCGGAAGACAGAGAAATAACAGCAAATGTAGCATATTATCAGGATTCTGAATGTATCGTTCCTAAAATCTGAATCCACCAACCTCAACGTACAATCCAAAAGCTTCAAGGGCAGCTTGTTTGTCTTTCACCAGTGCCTTGACTCTCGTTTTTTTCAGAATCAATGACAATATAACCATCTGCATGAGGTATATACGTCACTTGGTTGGATATTGAGCAGTTGATCACAGTGAAAATTACTCATCGTTACACATGACAGTTTCAAGAGGCAAAAACCAAGCAGTTACTAAACGAAATGAAAGATTCTTTCGACTTGGTCTTCTGGCATGGATTCAGCTAACCATAAATCATATTATTCATGTCTTCATTCACATACCAATCGAATTCGAAGGAAAAGTTATCATGCTCATCACAGTTGCAACACAAAACCAAACGACTAAACAACGCAGGAACACACCTGACCCATCTCGGTATCCCCGTCAGTCACCAAAACTGCATCTCTGATTTCCTCTGTACAAATGGAAGAAAAAAAAAAACTCAATCTAAGAAAAAAAATGATAAAATCAGAAGACGCATAAAAAAATTGTTCCTATCCACATTACCGCCATATTCATCCTCATCTTTAAGGACAGAATCATCTTTAGAAACAAGGTCAGGCGCGCCATACCATTTCCTTAACTTCGGACCGCCTGAATCAAACAAGAAAGCAAAAATAAATAAAGAAAACAGTAAGAATAACTCAAAACAATATCACGAAATTAAAGATTCTCCGCCTTCAAATTTGTTTGTACTGAATTTGAAGTGCACCTTCAATGTAGTCAAGAATTTGATCCATGAAGCCGATTTTCTTCTTGGCAAAGCAGCAAAGCCGTTCGTGCCTTTTCGAGATGAAGAAGTACGGAGAGGAATTTTTCCATTTGAAAATTGGATTGAAATCAGTGAACGAACTGGGAGCGACGCTATGGAGAAGAAGATTGCTGACCATTTGGCAGAGGTTCTTCGCTTTCTATAATTTCTCTGGTCTCGACCAACCACTTCCATTCCCGCTATTTGGAGGGGATAACAATGTGAAATTCCAATCCTACCCTTCAGTGTTTGGCTCATTATTATTATTATATATTCTGAAATAAATTTTTTTTATTATTATTATTATTATTGTATTTTTATGGCGTGGTATAATATTTTGACCAATTAAATTAAATAAATTTATAAAATTTAAATTATATATTAAAAAAAAACATGGTGCAATTAGGAGAAGGAAAAATGTTGTATTAATTAAAATAATCGAATATTTATTTGCTTAAAAAATAATATTTATTTTATTTTATCTGAAATTCATTAATGTAAATATTTCATTTGGGCTCTTTCATACGGCCCATTAACTGTTGTTGGGCCAACAAGGAAGCTGAAGCCCAATCTTGGAAGTTAAAACCTTTTATTTGAGGATATCTCCTCCCAGAGCTCACAGCGTTTCCTAGGGTTTTATTCATCTTCAACCTAGAGAGTACACGCAGAAGAGCGGTGAACGGCGACAGCTCCAGCAACCAAACATGGCAACTCAGATGAGCAAGAAGCGAAAGGTTAGTATTGGATTTGATTCTTCATTTTATCTTTTTCACGTCGCGCAGATTATTCTGATCATTTTGATGGTTTCGAAACTTATTTGATTCACTCGGATATAGTTTGTGGCCGATGGAGTGTTCTTTGCTGAGCTTAACGAAGTTCTCACCAGAGAGCTTGCAGAGGATGGATACTCTGGAGTTGAGGTTAGGGTCACTCCCATGCGGACTGAGATTATTATCAGGGCTACTCGTACTCAAAATGTTCTTGGTAAGAGGCCTTTCTCTTATAGATTTGATTATGTAGCTTGCGAATTTTGGGAATGATTTGGGAAAACAGGAGTTTGATTTTGTTTCATTTCAAGTTACTGCTACAAGTACTTTTTATTTTTTTACTTTTGTTCTTTGCACCTCTTTCTTTAGTTTTACTTTTTTGCATCAGATTGTTCAAGTTCGTAATCATTCTATGATTCTTGTTAAATTCTCACGAGGTGGAATCTCGAATTTTTAGGATTTGTAGAATTGTAGAGGCGTATGGAATTGTGTTGATGTGTTAGTGATTTGAGACTTGATAAGACCACAGAGACTGGGTTGTTTGTTCTTGCATTTAACTTCAGGAAATAAAGCGACGTGGAGGTTAAGTACGATGTTCAGTTCAATTGTGTTTGTTGGTGCTGATAGCTTGACATAGTTACAGTTTTCTTCGTTCAGAGGGTTTTGGAGCTGTTTGATTGATTTAGTTTTTGAAGTTTAATATTTTTGGGGGATATAGATATGAATGTTATTTACTCTGTTGAATTGATAATGCATGTAAAACATCTTAATTCCATTGAATTGAATTTGATTTAAGAGATCAGATATATCAATATTAACTGTTGGGTATTTTAATTTTGGTGTTGCTACTATTACTTATGGATCCGGTATCTGACTATGCCTTCAATTACGGCTTCAGGTGAGAAAGGACGAAGAATTAGAGAATTGACATCTGTTGTTCAGAAGCGTTTCAAGTTTCCTGAAAACAGTGTTGAGCTATATGCCGAGAAGGTCAACAACAGAGGACTCTGTGCCATTGCTCAAGCTGAGTCTCTTCGCTACAAGCTTCTTGGAGGCCTTGCTGTGAGGAGGTATGTACAGGAATTGTGGGTGTTATTATGGCGTGCGTGTTTCAGTTTCTAGTTTGGTTGGTAACTTTCAATCTTACGGTGATGAAAATGTTCTTAGTGGATGGATACTGATTGTCGGGGTTGGGACTGTCTTGTCAACCTTATTTGGGTCATCACTTGTATTAAGCGTTACTCTTTAAAAATTTTCAGGGCTTGCTATGGTGTCCTTAGATTTGTCATGGAGAGTGGAGCTAAGGGATGCGAGGTCAGCACTGACATTGGTTCCTGATGTTTTCGTGGACTGACTATCTAGCTTATTCCATTTTTATTCAGTCATGTTCTTCTGAACTATGTAGGTTATTGTCAGTGGTAAGCTAAGGGCCCAGCGTGCAAAGTCCATGAAATTCAAGGATGGATACATGATTTCATCTGGACAGCCAGTGAAAGAGTACATTGACTCTGCCGTGAGACACGTTCTCCTTAGACAGGTGAGTATCACCTCCGGGAGGAGGAGCCTCAGGCTTTGATGCTGCTCATGTTGCAAATGAGTGATTCTGTTTATTAATTGGTGTCTCTGTTTGTTTTATTTACAGGGTGTTCTGGGTATCAAGGTCAAGATCATGCTTGATTGGGACCCGAAGGGCAAGCAAGGTCCACCGACGCCCCTCCCCGATTTGGTTACTATCCATACTCCCAAGGAGGAAGAGGAGTTCATTAGGCCCGCGGCTGTGACTCCAACAGCCGAGATTGAGGTTGCAGCAGCTTAAGGAAAGAAGAGCAGGCAGGAGGGAGGGAGGGATGAACTAGTAGTCTAGTGTTTCTATTACAATATCATTTGCTTCTTTCAGAAAATAGAATTCTAAATTTTGAAGTCGTTTTTGTTGTGTTCTGAGTTATGATTTTGGCATGTTTTTGTTACCTTACTTTACGTTAGAACCGTAATCTTAATCTACTGTTGTAAAATGAGCCAAAAAAGCCCACATTTATTGTGTTATCTTAATCTGTTTTTATGCCTCTTTCCTCTCTTCTTTTTTAGTTCTATTTGTTAGCTGTGGGCAACTGCTATACTGATCTGGAAGAGGGAGATACACCCTCATTGTACCATTTTGAATAGCATTGTTTAAGGATTTGGTGTCCAAAACTCTTGTGGTTTGATCCCATATGAGGATAAGTTTGGCCTTCTACATATTCGACTGAAGCCATATTGAGGAGCCCAAATTATAGATTGACTGCACATGTTTAATGGCCCACGAACAGTGACAATCTAGAGGCGCTGACTCTAGATGGCGCCTCCAGATTGTAAATTAAAAATTAAGGAGTCTCAAGAAACCGTACACGACAATTGTCGAGAAAAAAAGAGGTATTCGATAAAAAGAGGTATTCGATATCTAAGTAAAAAGAAAGGTATTTGATGCATGAATTAAGGTTAAGTTATTGTTTTAACTAATATTATTTTTTCTTTTTCCACAGAGGATCATCCAAATGCGAAAGGGATGTGGATTGTGTCATAGGAGTAGGAGAAGAAGAAACTCCTATGACATCAAACACTTTTGAGCAGTACTATGTCTCATAACCACCACCAGAGATGTTGGAATATGATATGTTGGAAACGCCAACCAGGCAAAACGTCGTCACGACTAAAGAAAGAGAAAGAGAACTTCATTTTATTCAGAAATGATTTAACTTGACTACAATATCTTGCCTCGTGGCCGAAGGACAAGGACAAATGTGAAATGGAGGTCGAAAAAAAAAAAGTAATGACCAACTTAAGCAAATTGCTAACTCATATGATAGTGACAAGGTGCACCTCGTAGATATTTTTTCACATAGATCTAAAAGGTGAGCTAGGTGAGCATTTTCTTATTTGCTTCAATACCAGAAGATGAGATATTGCACCAACGAGGACTCACCTTAAATATCACAGGAATTTCTAGTTTAAACAAGGAAAGAGGGAAGGAATGGAGCGAGATTTCTCCCTATTAGGGGTTAGGGACGGGATAATCTCCGTCCCCATCCTCGCCTAGTTCCCTGACCCATCCTGTCCATTTCTAAGTTTTATATATTTCCAAAGATGAAAAGAATATTATATATTCCATTATAAATTTCAACCGGTTTTATGTGTTCCAATAAATTTAATGTATTGCTTCCATTTTGTGTAATAAGTTTTTTAACGGTTGCATTAGTTTTTGGGTGAATCTGGAAAAAATAAATGAAAATTTTGGTGGGGATGGAAACAGAGAAGACTTCCTTGTTCCTGTCTCTTTCTCGTAGATATGTTTATACATACAGGGAAGAATGAGTGATTAATCCGACCTCGGGGTTGTTAAAGGTATTTTGGGATTAAAAATGATTAAAAAATTGAATTTACATATGAATTAAGTATAAAGTATAGTTATGAGTTTAAATATTATATAACTAAAACTCTATAATGAGAGGGAGATATGCGACGAACCGTTTCGGACGCGAGGGGTACAACTAGAGTGAATTTGAGAAAACATTTTGGAGTCCGGGAGTAGTAGAAAAACAGCGTGCTGAAAAAGCCAAGGCCGAGAAAGATACCCTATTTCGTGTGCACGTATAATCCGAATTTATTTTTATTTTTATTTTTATTTTTTAATTTTCTTAATGTACAAGTTTCTTTCTCTCTCTCTCTCTCAATTTCGATTTTCTTCGATTTTGCGATTGTTCGACTGCGAAAAAAGTTTCGTGAATAACCCCAATACTGTCTCTTTCAGTTGATTTCCCGGTTTCGCTGGCTGAGTCTACTCGACTTTCACTTGATTCTATGGTAACCCCCTATGAACTTCATTTATTTCTGGTGATTTTCTGCTATTTTATCGTTTCCATCACTGTTTATGTGTTTTTCTCTGTAACTCGTTTGGGATTGACTAATTTGTTGGAATTCGGTGCATTACGATTGATAGAGGAACTCTCTTGGTTGATTTGTTCACCGGAATTTTATGAAATTTTCGGTTCTGATCAAATTGGATTTGAATTTGTTTATGTTAGTGTAATAAGATTCTTGAATTTGTGCTTATTGCTGTGTAGTTCAAAGTTTGATTTACATGGGGTTGATTGAGGAGTGTTCTTTTTTTCTTTTTTCTTTTGATGCTCTCTTGATACAGATGTTATGTTAGTTTGAATTCTTTGTTTATTTATTGTCTTCTTTTGGGGGTTTCAGTTTATGTATTTGAGTTGCATGTGGTGGATTTTCCATGGGAACAGTGGTTGGATTTGTGGAGAATGAAGGGAAGATTGTTGATAGCGGGATCCTGCAGGATGTCTCAACTCTTTCTCCAAATCAGATCGCCGACCCAGTTGTGTACAAACTTGTTCGGGTATCTTTTTTCACTTATTTGGTTTGAACTTAGAAGATTGATTTTCTTGTTTGATGGAGTTTCATTCTTTAGATACTAATGGCGAATTCTGCATCTTTGGTACAATAATGTCCGACCCATACCCGAGTATAATCTCTCGTGATTGAATAGAACCTCTAGGTCTTGAACTGTTTTTGGTGCAATCTATCCATGTTCGCAAGTTACTGATTGGTGGCTTTATAAGCTTTTAGCTGATAGCATCATTCTGATTGGAGTACTCTATGCAGGTTAAAGATACGATCATACTCATAGAGATGTCCATTGATGAAGGTACTGAATGGATGTCTGAAAATAAACATGTTTCAGATTAATATCTTTGGGGAAATAAGAAGGATGAGTTCAATCCATGGTGGTCATCTACCTAGGATTAATATCCAACGTGTTTTCTGTCAACCAAATGTAATAGGGTTAAGCGGTTTTCCGGTGAGATTAGTCAAGGTGTAGACAAGCTGGCCTGGACACTCATCCATATAAAACAAAGAAAATAAAAGGCTAATTGTTTCCTACTGTGAGGATCAAGAAAATAAGCGAGTTCTCTTATATCCCAATTATGTTTTGTATAGCCAGCATTCTTATGTATGTCAAGTTAGTAACACATCAGGTCGGATTGTCACTTTGGTACAGTGGAACAACCTTTCTAAATTTTTTTTTTTTAGATAGCTTAAAGACAACATGCAATTTACATCAGGTTTGGTAATTTCGTTAAAAATCCTCGAATATCAGTGGAAGAAGGTACATGATCTCATCATTTTCATAGTGTTGTAGTGGAGATTGCAATACTAGTATCAATTGCCTTTTCCTTTTCTTTTCACATTCCACAATAGTTTTCATTTAAACTTCTCGTTCGCTTTGTATGTCAATCTAGGTTGATGGTGATGGCAGATTCGTTCCTGCCACGGATGATGAAGTAATGGAGGTCGAGGATTTACTTGAAGATGACAAGAGTGAAAAAGTGGAAGATGCAGGACAAATTGTTGAATGCATACCCACTGAAGGCACTTTATTTGGGAAGCCTCATGTCGAAATTTCAAATGGTTGTTTTTCCTTTCGGTTTTGCCTCTTTGTTTTTTGCTATTATAATTACTCCTTAGTGTGTCCTTTGTAGAATAGGATGTATTGAACACTTTCAATCTTCAGTGTGTTATTTTTATGGGGAGTGGCTTTATATCGTGCTTAGATTTTCATTTTTACTTCGTCTGTCAACCCTACATTCTCAAATAATCTTCTCCCATTCTTGCTATAGGTTGCTAGTCATATCATATAAACATGGTTATGATGATCATATCTGTTATTCGTCATGTGCATCGATAATTTTATACCTTTTGAGTTGCACTGGTCCAATTGGATTGTTCATACCTTAGAAAGATTATACACACTTCATGTTATCAACTTGGCTCAACGTGTTCCTTTTTTTTTTTTTGTTGACTTTGGCTTATGATGTCTGCATTATTGAGATATGGCAGGTTTGCCACAATCTGAAGGTGATGCAGGGTATACTGCCCGATTGGAGGTACAGAATTTGCTTTCTTATGATATGAAATGTTTTTATTGCTTGGAGTGCTAAAGGAAATTTGTTATAAGCTATAGTAATTGTTAATATTTCTTAGCGTTCTCTGTTTATGGATTTCACTCTCTTCTCAAGAAATCTTTAGATTTTCGTCGTTTTCTCCTAGTGTGAAGTGTGTTTTTTAGTAGCTTCCTTATTGAGTCACTAATAATTTAAACTGATTTTTCCTTTCAATGTCGTGTAGTACATTGAGGAGGTATTGCAAAAGGTGAAACAGGAAGAGCGGCTTCGCTTAGCATGTGGATCGCTTAACTATCCTTCTGCTTACGTGGATGGAGACAGGAAGGGTTCTGATCAGCATGGTTCGCTTGTTACTGATGAGAAGTTCCAATCTCAAATTTCACTGCAGGAAATTTCTCACTGCTCTCCAAGTTTGAATGAGAATCATGAGAATGAACATGGGAGTCTGGGCAATTTCTTAAAGCATCCAGACAAATCAGTGGAATCCGAATCCTCAGATGCCATTTGCACGACGTCTAAGCCCGAGTTTTCCATGTTAAAGGGGGACATATGCCTGGATAATCTCTCAATCAGAGAGCTCCATGAATGTTTCAAAGCAACTTTTGGGCGAGACACTACGGTTAAAGACAAATCGTGGCTTAAGAGGAGAATTGCTATGGGATTGACCAACTCATGCGACATTCCAGCCTCATCTTTTATAATTAAGGAAGGCAAGTTTGTTGAAGAAAGTTCCCAAAATGTGGTGGGCGTGTCCACCATTCCAACTGCAGAAGCTTTGAATATTGAATGCACTGGTTCACCGACAACTTATTGTTTGGAAACTAAGGACCATCATCACGTTGAGGAAATTGAACTTGATCATGGAATTGACGACCAACACGAAGAGAGAGCTGCTGTTAAAAGAATTCGGAAGCCCACCAGGCGGTATATTGAAGAGCTTTCTGAAGTGGAGTCAAGAGAGTTCGTCCCAAAGGTGATAAGTTTGAATAAAAGTTCTGTATCTGATAGCGTATCTGCTAATTCTATTGAAAGACCTAGTAAGAAAGTCTGTTCAGATAGGGGAAGAACTGTCATAACAAGATTGGATTCACTTGGTGGATCTGGTGTACAAGTTCCATGTGTTTCGAGAGTTCGAAGGAGTCGTCCAAGGAAAAACATTGTAGCCCTTGTGGTATGTGTTTAAGCGTATTTAAGTTAACATTTTCCTTTCTTCAGTATATGGATAGGGATCGAACACCCGAGTAGTTTAAATTTTTAAAAGTGACCCCTTCTTTTGAATGGCTAGGTTATGGTTACTCGTACTGATAATTGTTTGGATGGCTTCTGACTGCTGGGTTATTCTATTTTGTTGGCTCAGTTTACCCTTCCAGATAAAGATCAGAATCCTTCGGTCAAGGACACGAATGAAGTGGAGGAGAAGAATTTGGAGGAGAAGCCAACAGATTCAGGCAATGCATCAGATGATAATGCAATAATTGTTCCAACACCAAAAGGTGGATCAAGGAGGAAGCATCATCGCGCTTGGACTCTTGTCGAGGTCATCAAATTAGTGGAGGGCGTGTCGATATGCGGGGCTGGTAGATGGTCTGAGATCAAGAAACTTTCTTTTTCATCGTACTCGTATCGTACATCAGTTGATCTCAAGGTGCTTTTACTCGTAAACTAAACCAGAATTCCCAAGATCGTAGGGGATTGATTATCTTTTATGTTTAGCTGAAAATAGGTTTCGATTTTGTAGGATAAATGGAGAAACCTGCTCAAGGCTAGCTTTGCGCAGACGCCTGTTGGTGAAGGGGTAAGTGTTCGATCGAATATCACTGGCTGTTCTTTGATTATCGTTATGTTATATACTTTAATCATCATTTTTGAATAATCAATGTAGGTGAGTTCTCGGAAACATGTGTCGGTGTCAATTCCAGAACAGATCTTGTTACAGGTGAGGGAGCTTGCTGAGATGCATGCTCAAATTCCTCCTTCAAACCATGGACAAGGCAAATTGGGTGGAGTTAGTAGTGGGAGCAATATGCACGAGATAAGTCCGGCAGTGTGCTTGTAACATTGTAAATAACACAAGCTTGTCTTATTTTTTTTTCACCCCTTGAAAAACAAACCAAAAACAAAACTCTTGATCTGAATCCTGTAGCAACAACTGTTCGTTGCTCGTGGCGAATTATAGGAATTTCTTGAGCTTTGATCATCAATTTTTGTTTACGAGATGCTTTTATGGCTCCTACAACTTCTTAAACTCCACTTGTGCCTAAATTTCTGATGTAAGAGCCAAGCTTGTTTTGGATCCGTTTAGCTCCCCAATTGAGAGGCAGGGCCAGAAAACATGGTTTGATAACTCGATTTCGTGTCCGAATAAGATCATACGAATATGAACCCATAATGCATCTAGGCTTCTTCCTTAAAGGCTTAAAATGTGTAAATGAGAGAATTACCTGATCACAAATGCTAAATACTGTCACATTTCTCCAAACAAGAGATCATACTTGTCAATATATCAGCCAAACACAAACTTGGATGAATAGAGTTCAAATATAAGCAATACATGATTTAATTTTATATTATCGGAGTGTTATTAGTTCCCCATTATTATTGGAATACCTACATCTTTCTCAAGTTATCCAGCCTAGCCTGCAAGTCACTGTCAATTCCAGTATCTTCGGCTTCTGCTTGGGCAACCCTATTATTTGCAGTTGACACTGACACAGAAGCTGAGGGTGCATTCACAAGCTGCATGTGAGCAAAAAGATCGTGTTTAAATTACCTTTCCCACGATAATATATGGACCATTGTGAAAAAATGTGGGCATGTTTACCTCCGAGTTGATATCAATTCCAATCTCGTCAAGCACCTGACTTACAAGCTCTTCTGTCTCCTCTTCTTCTTCATCTCCTTCAAAAGCATCGTCAAGAGCATCTGCCATCATTTCAGATGTCATTTCCATCTTCTCATTCTGCCTCTCAAACTCTTGCATTATCTTCTGCAATGCCGGCAAGTTCATCTGCCTGTTCATCTGGCCCATTGCCTTAGTAACACCTTTCATGGCTTCTCCCATAGCTTGAGTTGATTTCAGAGTCTGCAGAAGCAAGCAATTGGAGCTAAATTTGAATAATCACAACTGTAGAAATTGTGTCATTTGATTAAAAAACAGCTATATATCTTTATGATCTAAAAAAGAACGTAAGAATTCGTTTGAGAATGTGTGTATGTATATACATGAGAACGTTTAGTAGTTTTTTTTAACGTTGAAAACTCCTCTTACAATGATGAACAGTTTCTTCAAATACACAATGACATTTCCTCTTTTTAATGATATAGCCCACTTGTTTCATAAGAAACAATGGAAAATTATAATTATTTAGTAGCGCATTTCAACAGACTCTGATGCAGAATGAGACATATTAGATTTCTTTTGAGTTCTTGGTACTTAGAGAAGTGTGAAATTCGTGAATCCATTATAGGAAGAAATTCAAAAAACCATGAAGCTAGAAAATAGAATTCCCTCAAATTCCCAGCTTTGTTCAAATGTTGCTTTTGTGAAACAACAAAACTAGAGGATGCGAGTGATACTAAACTAATACTAAAGCAATTTGTTATTTGGTTTTAATTACGTGGGAAGAAGACTATATGGCTTGTAAAATGATTCTTTTCTTTTCATGTATTCAGCACATAAGCACACCTGACGAGCTGTAGAAAATTATAACCATAAGCTTTCAGTTAGACTTTCAGAGCTCATCTATCAGGAATGACTAAACCTCATCCTAGTACATGAAATCAATAATTGTAATCCAGAAATTTGTAGATCAGCAGTAATTGTATTTGCTCTGATGAAAATGAAACATGAGGGGCAATAATTCTCATGGTTTTGAAGAAAAGTGTACATATAATACCTGAATTCTCAAAGCCACACCCTGGAGCTGTGATTTTAGTTTATAGAACTTTTCAATCTGATGTCGTGTCCTGATAAGATCTTTGGCCATTATTTTAACAGCTCCCTGAAAAAGACAAATCGAATCAAGGAATTTGTGCGGAGTTGATGATGACAATCCATCACCCTGCCTAAAGAATGAACAGAATGGAAGGCTAGCTTTCGACTCAAAAAGTAGAAGCATGCTTACTTCCAGTACAACTAAAGAAATGCTGTCACTGAAGATGTGTCGATGTTAAAGTACAAGTTCTAAATTACTCAACTCACCATCTGTCCTTGTTTAGCATTTTTCTTTATCTCGACAATCAACTTCTTTTCTTGAGACTGCAAGCCTTGTCTTTCCCGTTCTATTTCTCTAATGGACTTATCTAGCATCCTCTTGTTCTCCCGCAGAATCTCTGCGCAGGAAACCAAAACAGATTTACAATCTCGAGCCGTCTATTCTAATTTACGCGCGAATTTACTTACACAAGTTAAAGCGCATAGAAAAGTATTGAATCCTCGACATCACGAGCAAAATTACAAGTATTGAAATGACAGTTAAGTCATCCACATCAAATTGACGTTTCCAGGACTTAACTCCAGAGTTAGAAATTCATCACAAGAAATCACGCTATCACAAGAACAAAGCTCCGGAATAGAAATTAATTGAGAAGGTAAGAACGCAGAACTTCATCCACATCAAATTGACATTTATAGGACTAAACTCCGAGAGAAATTCATCACAAGAGGTCACACCAACATCAATAACCTATCTCCTGAATATGCATAATTCGAGAAGGTAAGAACGTTAAGAACCTGCGGGAGTTTTTCGGCTACCGAAGAGGAAGCTCATACTTGATCGTCAATTGACCAAACCAAAAGATTCGTGCAATTTCCGATCGCAATAAGCTTATTCCTTCTCCTCTTCACCTTTCGTTACTCTGCAAATCTCTCGCTGTTCAAAATCCGTCGACGAATTCCCCGGCGACGGTGAGCTCTCCCCCTGGAGGAGCCACCTTTTCTTCTGGTAGATCGGCAAAAGCAGTTTTAGACTTGTATTGATAGTTCGATTGAAATGTTGAAGGCCGAAGTCCTATATTGGGCCGTTTTGATTTTTGGGCCGTCTGATTGTTGGGCCGTTTTGATTTTTGGGCCGTCTGATTGTTGGGCCGTTTGATTATTGGGCTTTCAATGATTGGATCGTAAATTCAGCCGTATGGAGATGAAAATTCCCTAGGCCCATAATTATTGAACCAAGTGGGCCTCGATACAAAGCCCTCTCAGCAAGGAACTAACCATATTCCTTCCAAATCCCAACGTATAAGATACCTAACTAATTTTTTATTTTTATTTTAAATATTGCTTGAAAAATATTTTAAATGCATAAAAAAATATTTTCGATTGGAGAGGATTTGGCTATGAAAAATGGTAGACCCCCCGATCTCGTGGGACCGGGACCTATTAGGACCCGGCCCAAAGGGAATTGGAAATAAAGAGGGAGTAAGAAAAGATTTCTCCTCGTTAGTTATGACCTAGGACCGCCAATTCCTAGATATTGTCCTCTTTGGGTTTTCCCTTATAAGCTTCCTCTGAAGCCCTTCGAGGCCCAGCGTCCTTACTGGCACACCACCTCGTGTCTACCCCCTTCGGGGAACAACCTTCTCGCTGGCATATATAGTCTAGTGTCTGGCTCTGATACCATTTGTAATGGCTTAAGCCAAAACCCATCACTAACAGATATTGTCCTCTTTGAACTTTCTCTACTTTCTCTTAAAGCTTTAAAACGCGTCTGTTAGGGAAAGGTTTCCACACACTTATAAAGAGTATTTCGTTCTCCTCCCCAACCATAACCAATATGGAATTCTCACGTGACATACCATTCTCGAGAAATATATTCATATTTCTACGAACTTTTAAAGGTAATCTCAAATATGAGTAATTTTTGTTAAAAGCATCAAAGATTAATTGATTGTTTTTATTTGAAATTATTGATTTATCTGATTGATGATTAACTTAGATTCTAAATAAGGATATTATAGTAATTATAATGAGAAAAAAAAAACAAAACTTTAAAATGGTGAGGACATCAATAATTATATAATTAAAACCCTAATCTTTTAACAATAAATCATTAACAATCTTATTAAAAAAAATAAGAAATTTAAAATTTAAAATATAAGAAAATTGTTGAAACAGATTACATTCATGATCCAGATCAATAGGAAAGAAAATTCGTTTTTAAACTCCTGTTTTGCTCCACAACATAATCTGATTGAGCCTACTTGTATGACTCTAACATGCAAATCTAAACACAAAAAATGTAAAGAAACAAGTTCATGGCTTAAAAACCATAACATACAACTCTTATTTTAATATCTAAAATCTTCCCTAAAGCAATAATATTCGGTAGACAATATGATCCTCACAAACTCTCCGTATGGAATTTAGATCCCGATCGTCACAAAAATAAATAAAAAATTTCACGAATATGAAGATTGAAAGAGGTAGCAAGGAGGGGAACAGAAAAAACTTCACCGACCCACCTCGCACCTATTGAGGATTGATGGGAGGGAGTCCAATATTCGCTAATTTAAAGGATGGTCATTAGTAGCAATGAATACATCTCGGGTACAAGGCCTTTTGGGGAAGCATAAACCAAAGCCACGAGAGATTCCACTCAAAGTGGACAATATCATACTATTGTAGAGAGTCGTGATTCCTAACAGCACCGTGAACATCTCTAATCAAAAGTTATCGTTTAAAAAATTGTAAGTTACCAATCCGAACAAATGGTCAAATCTCGGATAGAAAAGTCAAGCAACAAATTTCAATATTTATTTTTTTAAAAAGTGAATCTCAATTTTGACCAAAACTTGTTTATAAATAAATAAATAAATGTTCAAAGAACAAACCATTTTTGGGGCCATATCAATTTTAGCAATGATTTGGATATAGAAACCGTGTATATTTTGTCTCTTTGTTCTATATTAATTATCATTTTTTTAAATAAAAAATTATTTATTAAATTATATATTCCTAACCCAACAACCCATTTTTAACCTAATCGTCAGGAGACAATAAGAGCTATAATCGGGAAAATTATTCAATGACGCTGATACAATACTACTGATTTTTAATAACCGTCAAATGTACATTAAAAAATATATCTTGCTCTCGTAATTATTGAATAAAAAATTATTCAATTTTACCATTTATATCTCCTACATCTAACAGTGTAAAATTGTCAGCTTCATTGTGACAGCCTCATCTAATAATTTATATCTCTACATGTGTCAGTTTTACAGTGACAATCTCATCCA